TTTTAGATAATCTTCAGTAGAATCTTGCTTGCATGTGAAATCAATGATATTGTTCTGTAGTTTCCACACTCAGTTGGGTCGCCCTTCTTTGGGATGAGAACAAATATAGACCTCTTCCAGTCAGTTGGCCAAGTTCTTGGCACAACTTGGTGAGCACATCCACGGCAGCATCTGTTAGCTGAATTATGTCAATTGGTATACCGTCTATGAAGCAATTCAGAACGTAAAATACTCTGTTAACGTTTTCTGTTAATTTTTCCACTTGAAAACCTAGGAATTACTAGTAGATTCTAAAGTAGCTTGTTCATTCTCTCAGCTCTCATGTAATTTAAAATATAGTGACAATAGCAAGTTTATTACATTAGCTTTATTTGTAGTTATTTTTAAATATTAACATCAAAATTGCCTACATTAGTATATTCTGAGTTCCCAAAAACTTTATTATAAAGTGAGTTTTTATATTCTTTTCCTATATAGTCTTAATTTAAATTTTTCATATTGTTGATTATACAACTCTAATTTTTCAAAAGGTTATATTTCCTAATAAAGAACAATGTGTAAATAGCTATACTCCTTCAACCTGTTCATCTTGCCTTACCTATTAAAAGTAATTAAACAACTTTTATCAACTAACTTTGAGGAAGTTATTTTTAAAAGTTTGAAAGACTAAGCCATTTTGTAATTAAATGAGTAGAAGTAATGATATGGTGAATGCTCTGGTTCATTCAGTTTATTTAATAAGATTTAAAAATAGAAAATTTACACTCCACTGTATAGTGATAAAAAATTGATTTATTTTACACTATAAGTGAAGTAGATAGCAAATTAATTGTAATGATTACTTTTAATATCTATGTTCTTTTATCTTGATGTGGTTTTGGGGGGTTCATAATGGAAACTATAATGAATTGAATTAATACACAGTATTAATTAGGGCTTCCACCCCCCATTTAGTATGTTTTGTATCTCTTCCAGAGTCATTTTGCTCAGCATGCTGTTAGCTTGCTCCTTTACTAAACAATCAAATTAAAAAAATATCTACCATCATGAAAGAATAAATAAACTTGGCATGCTATCAGTGCTGCATCTCCAGGTATCCCATCATTTTACCTTGTTGTCTCTGGAAGCAGTAGCACCATTCATTGTTAGATATCAAACTGTCCTTGTATGTGTCACAAGAATTGAAGAATGCCTTTGTGCACTGTTCGTTCTGATCAAGGTAAATGCTTCCCAGTTCTGACTGGTCCAGTAACAGATCATAGTTTGTATCAAGTCTGTTAAACATCCAACCAAGTGAATCTTTGCAAATTGGCAAAATACTTGTATCAAATCCTAAAAAAAAACAAACCCCAAAACATAAAATTATTAGTAAAATTTGAAAAATGTCATCAGCAGAATAAAAATAAAGCAACAGTAAGTGGAAGTGTCATATACCAACTTAAGAGTCAGCTAGCTAGGATTTAAATTAATATTTGAAAACGTGTTTGAAAATAAAGTGAGGAAATTAATATCTACCTCACAGGATAGTTTTTAGTATTAACTAACTGATATATAAAGCAGATAGTATCTAGCAGTCATCTGGGAAATGATATTTGCTACTACAATTATTACATTACATATCATTTATTATTTGTTTATTGTTCAAGCCTCTTCTGAATGAGTAGTAAGTCAATATAGCACATTCTATATTAAACCATTACTCTTCAACTAATTCTGACACATAAAAGCTTGTCAGGCAAAGTACTAATTTCCCATATTGTTTCCAATGCTTTAATTGACATGGGACCAAACTGTCACATTTGGCTCCCACAGTATGTTGGATGCATTCAAACCACCAACTTTTGTGTTTAATAGTTAAGGACTATAATTACTTTGCTACAATGACCACTTTGGTCCTTACTGGTTGCATATAAATATTATTCAAGAAATAAATTTTATTAATATAGAAATAAATAATTTTTCTCTCCAACAATGCATGCTTAAAATATTCTCTAGGGCAGGAGAGAAATGAGAAATCTCTAGTGCAAATTCATACCTCTGAAAACCACTGGAGTGTTTATTGTAAGTCCAAGAAAGACAGATTTGTTCTTTTTTGAAGGTTATGGACTATTTAGTACTCTTCTCTAATTACACAACTCAAAGGCATTTATTCTCTGTAATTCTTAATCATTGTCCAACATTTAGATGAACAGGAAATAATTGAAGACTGTGGCTTGGGTCAGGCATGTATGTGTCTTTAAACTGGCATAATTGCTCGTTAGCACTTTGGAGAGGTTTTGTTTGTTTGATTTGGGAAGAATATTGTCAAGACTAAAACCAAAAGCAACCTGCTCACTTTTCATTTCTTTCAACTCTAAGTTACCAGTCCCAGACAGTTGAGTAGTACTTCCACATATGGTTTCTAACGTTGCAAATGGTGCTAAAGCAGAGTGCTACGTCTTTTATTCATAGACTTTGGGAGAGTTTAAACCACTGATCCAGTGGTCAAGCCTTCACACATTTAAGCACTGCAGTAATGCAAAACATAATATTGATGTTGCTCTTAAATACAGCCAAAGCTTGACATCTTATCCATAGTGCTGAAGTTCAATGTCAATAAATTTATAATATGTGAAATTGTTTTAGTAAAAACAACTAGATTATTTGTTTGAAAAACTAAGGAATTTTGAAGGCATCATCTGTATAATTGGGCTTAACACTGTCATTAAAAGTAGGGTATTTAATCAGAAATATAAAATAAATGACGGTATGAGCAATATAGGGAAAAAACCCCAAATAAAAGGAATAACATACGCAAAAATCTGAAATCAGGATTTGTGATAGAAGAGCAAATAAAAACATACATGGAATGGAGTGGCTCAGGAGAAAGAATGAGGGATATTGGGAAAAGAATCAGTCATACTTACGTAGGCCACAACAAAGAAGTTGGAATTTACTTAGAGATTATTTTATCTATGTCTGTGATTCTTTCTCTCAAGGATAACATTAATATGATTGACCTGAGCTACTCTGAGCCAAAGGGTTTGTAACTTAAAGAATTCAGTAAGTCAAAGAGAACCTATGTTTCAAGGTCCATAAAATCTTAATTCAAATCCCAGCCCTACCAACTGTGAAACTTTGAGCTCAAATTTTCAACTTTCTTCAATGATAAAAATGAGGAAACGTGATCCACATTTCAAGATTGTAAGAGGATTACTAGAAATAAAACACATGGCAGATTTAGTGGCTAAAATTCAGGGTACTCAGACTGGATGACAGTCTCCAAGTTCAATCCACAATTTCTTTATGAATGGTGATTAATCCCTAGATCGTCTTGTCTTTTCATCTTCCTATCCTCACAAATCTTTAAATCCTTTAATAGCACCAGTAATAATCTCCAGTAGAATCGCATATGCTGTTTTTTTGTTGTGCACAGTGAAGTTGGAACTGACACATAGCTGACCTTCCAGCAGATTTTCAGAGACAGTAAATTGCAGGGCAGGAGATTGTCCATCTTTCTCCTGCAGAGCAGCTAGTGGATTCAAACTGCATAACTTTGGGATTGCAGTACAGTTTCTTACCACTAGCCACAAGAGGACTAGATACCTTATCAAAAATGTCTACCAACATCTTGCTTTCAAAAATGTCTTCAAAATTTTAAGTCAGAAATTATCAAGTTCAAAATCTTTTCTAATTGAAAGAATGTCTCTCAGTATTCTTTAAATATCTTTGCTCATATAGAAAACAATTCTGATCATGTTACAATGTAGACATATGAATAGTTGTTGATTGACCTTATGAAATTGATAATTTTTATTACATATCAATTCGACTAATAAAATATCATTAATATAATTAAGACTAATTCATTGTAAATAAAATTGAGGTTTTAAATGAAGCAAATCATGATAAATGTAAAAAACAAATTTAAAGAGTGAAGGAATATAGATAATATATATGAAAAATTCATCATAGAAATGGTTAAACCAGGCTACTCTTTGGAGACAAAGATTCTGGAGGCTTCGTCTGACATACTTTGGACATGTTGTAAGGAGAGACAGGTCTTTAGAGAGGGACATCATGCTTGGTAGGGTGGAGCGACAGCGCAGGAGGGGAAGACCCTCTATGAGATGGATTGATTCGGTGACTGGGGTAATAGGGATGGGTGTGTCAGAGGTAATGCGATTGGCACAGGATAGAGCAGGGTTTAGGGCTGTTGTACATAGGGTCGCTATGAGTCACAAACGACTCGACGGCACATAGCAACAACAACAATATGAAAAATTATCTTTCTAAAAAAGATAGAGTTTTGGTTTAATTAAGTTTTAATTAAGGAGGAGAGGGGGAAAGAAGTAGGAAGAAGTAAAGAAATAAAAAATCGCTATTCTAAACAATTCAGGTTATACACATGATTCTAAGCCTCGGAGATATAAAAGACAAATAAAGGAAAAACTGTTTTTAAGCTGGCATTTGAAAACCCATTTTCAATTCTATGGGAACTAACAGTTGATTGAGATCTTACTGGGTTGACATTCCTGCAAAAAAAAAATGTTAAAATTCTGGATAATTATTTAAAAAATGCCATCTGAAGATACTGAAGGGTGGAATGAAACTAAGCAGTCTCTAGTGGAGAGTTCACATTTTGAGGCAAAGAAAAATGTATGGAGTGAAGTGATGATGATTTCTTTTTTATCTGGAAGGTCAACAGGATTGGCAAACATGTAGGTTGTGTGGTGCTGACACTAGTAAAACAAATTATTTTTTTTTTAAGAATCAAGGGATTATAGATACAGATGGAGAAGAAATACAAGAAGCAAAGTATCCAGAAAGGAAGTCCCTAATTTCTGTCTGCCCAAGATTCTGGATGATCTGTACGCTTGTGTAGGGCAGACTCAAATCCCATTTCCAATAGACAAGAAACCTCAATACACATTGGATCTAGTGTTCCATAACATGATTTTCCATCTTTAAATAAAACATTAGAGGCAAGAAAGCAAACAAAAATATTTAATCATTGCAGAAACACACTATTAAAAGATTCTACAGTTTGGTATTTTAATGCCTCGAAATTTTGGTTGGAATTAGGTGACAAATGAAGAACTAGGAAAATGGAATCAATTTTCAAAATAATAGGAAATTCTCTGAGATCAAATTTAAGATCTTTGAGTTGTTGCAAACAGCAAACAAGATTTTAAAGCAACTAAAATGACTATTTTCAGAGAAGTCAGAGAAAAATACACTTGCAGAGAAAATAACTATAATCATGAAAACTATCAGAAAAGAAACACAGATCACAAGAAAGAACTAAATGGAGACTGAAAAGAACAAGAAAAAAAAAAGACACTTTTGGATCGCTGGACTCATTTAACAGTGGAATGCTTTTGACAGAGGAAGAAATAAATAAGCTTACGTATAGATAAATTTATCTAATGTGAAAACTACCAAGAAAGAATGAAAAATTCAACTAGCAACTGTTATAATATCAGTTATAAAGATTGCAACATACATCCATTATAAATCCCAGAAGAAAGGAGGTAAAAAATGGCTCAGGAAAAATATCTGAAGAAACAATGATAAAATCTGCTTCAATATTTACTGTACGGGGTAAAGATAGAATCGTCCTCAAAAACAATTGACAGAAGGTCATTCCTTGGTATATGCAACTCTGAAGTCATACTTTTAAGGACTAAACATAATCACATTTGAACTTGTCAAAATGACATAGGGTAGGGAAATATTGGTTCTGTTAAAGACTGGAATCTCATTAGAATTTTGAAGGTCAGAATAGTATAAAACAGTAATTTAAGAAAAGAAAAAATAATAAAACAACAATGCAAAATCTCTCAACAAATAAATTAAACCCAGGGAAAATAATGTCCAGGAATAAAGTTAAGAAATTTCATCTAGATTTCAGAGATTTATAAAAGATATTGCTGGACTCATATTAATAAGTAACATATGAAAAACCAAAGAAAAACACCTTTTTGGAACTGATGTAGAAGTTTATATCTCAGGGAATATAGTAGTACTCTGCAGAAACTTAGAATGTCTATAAATAGTATAAGTAGAGAGAGATTTATTCATTTTTTCCACTTCAAAATTCTCTAAAAATATTTTTAATTTCTAGTCAAGAAGGTATCAGCAACATTTGTTTGGACCTGTTCATGTACTTTCACCAGCAGCAGGGGCATCGGTCGCTGTTGGTGTTTCTGGTATGAATTAAATGAGCTCTGCGCTTGGACATCAGCACAGCAGTTCTTTACTTAGCAGCTCCTGAAGGGCCTCCCTGGCCAGGGAACCCTGAGTCGCCAGTCTCTCAGAGACAACAGCCAGGATTATAAACTTATAGATGG